CTTTCTTTTCCAACACAGCATCTTGTTGTCTTCAGAGCCATCTTTATCGTTTGGTTTCTGCGTAGACCTGCGCGTTCGCCTCTCGTAAACACTAGGCTACATGCGTGAATAGGTGGGTGGGGCTAAACAGGCAGTGATGTCGATCTTCTTCTGCGGAGGCGGTGCTTATCCACACTATTACATCATATGATGTAATAGTGTGGATAAGCACCGCCTCCGCAGAAGAAGATCGACATCACTGCCTGTTTAGCCCCGCCCACTTCCTGATAAACTGGCACTAAATATCACTAAGAAAAGTAGGAGAAGCCACTGAATATAATCAATTTCATATATAATAAATTACTTGCGCCTCAGAGTGAGCATACAAAGCACAATAAATGCAGTCATTGCTTTTGGAGGTGGATGCCTGCTGTTTGGGAACGCAGTCGTGTAAGACTATTATACAGAAATACTTTGATGACAGACTTTGCTCGGGCATTTCAGAATAACCATACATCCCATGACGCAAATCACATGACTTTTTTGATGTGCTTGGAGGAATTTATTCGCCAAATGCATTTCCATCTCCCATTATTCACATTAACCCTTTTTCACACAAGACAAAAACCGCCTCAAGCGAGCGTAAAAACTTTTTTGTGAATTAAGGGATATTTTTTTCAAAATTTGGTGTTTCCATCACTCGTTTCTCATGCGATACTTCAAAATGCGTATTAAAAGAGGGTGACGGAAACATAGCCAATGCGTGGTGGAAGTAGATTTAGATGTCGTACCATAAACGGACAGACTTGGGAGCCGGGGCCGAACATGAGTTCACACTGCCGGTTGGCGTTGTAGAGTTGACCTGGAAGCTGGTTGGGAAGGTTATACATCCTCCCCAAAGGCTCGTCCAGGAGACATTCACCATAACCAGTGCTAAAAAGAAAAAAAAAACAGACAGATATCAACACATTCAACAAGGAGAAATCTAGCGATAGCTTCAGGTGGGTTTCTTCATCCTCAGAAGCCTGGAGGAAGTACTATTGTAAAGCATTTAGTGTTTTATGCATCAACTCTTAAGTCGCTGGGGTATATTTGTAGCAATAGCCAACAATACATTGTATGGGTCAAAATTATCCATTTTTCTTTTATGCCAAAATTCATTAGGATATTAAGTAAAGATCATGTTACAATTTTGTAAATTTCCTACCGTAAATATATCAAAACTTAATTTTTGTTTAGTAATATGCATTGCTAAGAACTTCATTTAGACAACTTTAAAGGCGATTTTCTCAATATTTAGATTTTTTTGCACCCTCAGATTCCAGATTTTCAAATAGTTGTATCTCAGCCAAATATTGTGCTATCCTAACAAACCATACATCAATGGAAAGCTTATTTATTCAGCTTCAGATGATGTATAAATCACAATTTCACAAAAATTGACCCTTATGACTGGTTTTGTGGTCCAGGGTCACATATTTTGATGAATGTTGGGTTCAATCACCATTGGAACCCACTAATATATATATAGATATACATTTCATCATCAACTCCCAATGGATAATTATGAATGCAGTCTTTCTGATTTCACCTGGCGTCTGAAGGTCAAGTGTAAGATGGAGGCAGCGGTGGGTGGTCTGCTTTGTTACCTGCGAGTAACTGATTGAATGGACCTCAGCCAACACAAAGGCTGCATTTCACCCTAGTAAAGACGGTGCTGTTTAACAATGCTGCGTCTCCAAGAATCAACTCAACGGTGCCAAAACCAACGTTTCAACAACGTCATGACATATACGTCCCACCACACCCTTCCTTTGAAACGCATAAAGGAGCTACAAAAGAGCAGGGCACCACATTGGAGCTCATTGAATTGTTGGGCTTAACGTCTCTGAATGGCTCTTTCAGCCAGAGAGAGAACAAAATAAACCTCCTTTCTCCATTCGCCAGCTCAGCTTTCTGCAAGGGAGAACGGAAATCGGGGCTCAGAATAGCCATGTGATGTAATTACGTGAGATGTTGATGTTGCTGGTTCAATTTGTCCTTGGCTTTGAGACTAAACACCTGCGTCAGCTGATTTAGTCCTCTCATTACCTCGCTCACCCTTCACTCCCACTCCACACACCCTACAAGACACCTTTGTCTTTACGAGGGGGAAAATGGACACTACTCGAGGTGCATGCGTCCTTCTGCGGGACTCATTTATCCATCAGAGTAACGATGACAGCGCAGTATGCTCTCGTCTCTCCGCACCTCGCCATCAGCTCGTGAGAGTTTGAGTTATGAGTTCATCAAATCGGCAAGACTGAGGTTGACAGAAACCCTTCATGCCAGTGCAAAGCAAAGAGCGATAAGATTACAGTAAACTGAGACCGTCAGATCTCCAAGTATCTCACAGCTACGCTCAAGTGAGTGTGAGCATGTGAATTCAGGCTCTTTCGCATGATTAGAACCGCAAACACTGGACAAGTTGCATCCTAACACTGGAGTTAAAGAGACAGTTCATCCAAAACAGAAAGTTTGTGAACGCTGAAGAAGATATGTGACCCTGGAGCAAAAAAGCAGTCTTAAGTCACTGGGGTATATTTGTAGCAATAGCCAACAATATATTGTATGGGTCAAAATTATACATTTTTCTTTTAAGCCAAAAATCATTAGGATATTAAGTAAAGATCATGTTACAATTTTGTAAATTTCCTACCGTAAATATATCAAAACTTAATTTTTGTTTAGTAATATGCATTGCTAAGAACTTCATTTAGACAACTTTAAAGGCGATTTTCTCAATATTTAGATTTTTTTGCACCCTCAGATTCCAGATTTTCAAATAGTTGTATCTCAGCCAAATATTGTGCTATCCTAACAAACCATACATCAATGGAAAGCTTATTTATTCAGCTTCAGATGATGTATAAATCACAATTTCACAAAAATTGACCCTTATGACTGGTTTTGTGGTCCAGGGTCACATATTTTGATGAATGTTGGGTTCAATCACCATTGGAACCCACTAATATATATATAGATATACATTTCGCAAAATATCTTTTCACAACAGAAAGAAAATCGTACCAGTTTGGATCGACACGGGGGTGAAGTTCCTGAGATTAAATTATTATTTTTTTTAATAATTTACCAACACATTTGCATGTTCATGGTAGTCTGATGTTGGTTAACGTGCAGCTAAACAAACTAAATATTTTGTTTTATTTTAATGTTTTTTTTTTTATAATAAATGCATTCATTTTAATTTGACAGTTACTTATTTATTTCAAGTTTATTTTTTGGTATTTGAAATAAAGCTGAAATAAAATAAAACATTACTATTGATGAACATAAATATTGACTATAGATTGAAAACTTAAAAAAAAAATGTAAATGAAAGTTTGAAATCTTGCCTTAGCAGCAAACTGAAATAAAATACATTTAGGTTGAAGTACTTAAACTGAAATAAAGTAAATTAAAGATATATAAAAATGAATGAATGAATGACAAAGGCACATAACAAAATTATGAAAACCTAAACTAAATTTAACATTTTAATGGGCAAAATTTAAAATGAAAACTTAAAATACAAAAATAAAATAACACTCTAAAAAATGCTGGGTTGTTTCAATTCAATTTTGGGTCAAATATGGACTAACCCAACTTTTGGGTTAACAATTTTATGTAAAAATTTAACCCAACGGTTGGGTTAGTCCATATTTGACCCAAAGTTGGTTTGAAACATTAAAATGAAATGAATGAAATTCAAATTAAAATGAAAACTGAAAATATAAAAATAAAAGCTAATTCCAAATATTAATAAATAAAAAAATAAAAAAAATAAATATTTTTTACCTATGGGACGTCCTGTAAAGCGTGTCTGAGCGAGCAACAGTATAACCAAAGGTCAACCGGCCTGATTTTCATTAGTGAAGTGAAGTTTTGGTGCAGCTCCAGAGGGATTTGATATATTGTGAGTATTGTGAGACGCTTCTCATTTCTCAAGACATTCAGCTGCTGCTTCTAAAAGCCTCAGTGAGCGTCTGACAGACTGAGCGTTAAAGGGGTCATAGGATGCCCATTTTCCACAAGTTGATATGATTCTTTAGGCTCTTAATAAAAAATCTGTAACATAGTTTGGTTAAAATTTCTCAATGGTAGTGTAAAAACACCTTTTTTACCCTGTCAAAAACAGTGTAATTACGTGAGATGTTGATGTTGCTGGTTCAATTTGTCCTTGGCTTTGAGACTAAACACCTGCGTCAGCTGATTTAGTCCTCTCATTACCTCGCTCACCCTTCACTCCCACTCCACACACCCTACAAGACACCTTTGTCTTTACGAGGGGGAAAATGGACACTACTCGAGGTGCATGCGTCCTTCTGCGGGACTCATTTATCCATCAGAGTAACGATGACAGCGCAGTATGCTCTCGTCTCTCCGCACCTCGCCATCAGCTCGTGAGAGTTTGAGTTATGAGTTCATCAAATCGGCAAGACTGAGGTTGACAGAAACCCTTCATGCCAGTGCAAAGCAAAGAGCGATAAGATTACAGTAAACTGAGACCGTCAGATCTCCAAGTATCTCACAGCTACGCTCAAGTGAGTGTGAGCATGTGAATTCAGGCTCTTTCGCATGATTAGAACCGCAAACACTGGACAAGTTGCATCCTAACACTGGAGTTAAAGAGACAGTTCATCCAAAACAGAAAGTTTGTGAACGCTGAAGAAGATATGTGACCCTGGAGCAAAAAAGCAGTCTTAAGTCACTGGGGTATATTTGTAGCAATAGCCAACAATATATTGTATGGGTCAAAATTATACATTTTTCTTTTAAGCCAAAAATCATTAGGATATTAAGTAAAGATCATGTTACAATTTTGTAAATTTCCTACCGTAAATATATCAAAACTTAATTTTTGTTTAGTAATATGCATTGCTAAGAACTTCATTTAGACAACTTTAAAGGCGATTTTCTCAATATTTAGATTTTTTTGCACCCTCAGATTCCAGATTTTCAAATAGTTGTATCTCAGCCAAATATTGTGCTATCCTAACAAACCATACATCAATGGAAAGCTTATTTATTCAGCTTCAGATGATGTATAAATCACAATTTCACAAAAATTGACCCTTATGACTGGTTTTGTGGTCCAGGGTCACATATTTTGATGAATGTTGGGTTCAATCACCATTGGAACCCACTAATATATATATAGATATACATTTCGCAAAATATCTTTTCACAACAGAAAGAAAATCGTACCAGTTTGGATCGACACGGGGGTGAAGTTCCTGAGATTAAATTATTATTTTTTTTAATAATTTACCAACACATTTGCATGTTCATGGTAGTCTGATGTTGGTTAACGTGCAGCTAAACAAACTAAATATTTTGTTTTATTTTAATGTTTTTTTTTTTATAATAAATGCATTCATTTTAATTTGACAGTTACTTATTTATTTCAAGTTTATTTTTTGGTATTTGAAATAAAGCTGAAATAAAATAAAACATTACTATTGATGAACATAAATATTGACTATAGATTGAAAACTTAAAAAAAAAATGTAAATGAAAGTTTGAAATCTTGCCTTAGCAGCAAACTGAAATAAAATACATTTAGGTTGAAGTACTTAAACTGAAATAAAGTAAATTAAAGATATATAAAAATGAATGAATGAATGACAAAGGCACATAACAAAATTATGAAAACCTAAACTAAATTTAACATTTTAATGGGCAAAATTTAAAATGAAAACTTAAAATACAAAAATAAAATAACACTCTAAAAAATGCTGGGTTGTTTCAATTCAATTTTGGGTCAAATATGGACTAACCCAACTTTTGGGTTAACAATTTTATGTAAAAATTTAACCCAACGGTTGGGTTAGTCCATATTTGACCCAAAGTTGGTTTGAAACATTAAAATGAAATGAATGAAATTCAAATTA